CCTGTGGGCCTCAGTTCTATTGTCTTTCCAGTGGGGACAGTAGTCATCGCTGTGTCACGGATTTGCTGTGAAGGTGACATGAACTGCTGTGTACCCAGCGCGGGCTGAGCGCCTAACACAGGTGCGCAGAAATGTTACCTGTCACTGGGAGTTGTTTATAACGATCTCCAGTTCTTCCTCTGTGCAAGCCGTACATGTTCATGGCTGAAAAACTAAAACACGGAACGCAAAAAGAACAAACATTTTAGTCCACACTGTTGATATTTCTCTCTGTGTGTGTTTGTATATATATCCCCTTCCTGACCTTTTAAAAACATGAATGTATTCAAAAGAACAAGATCGGAATCATGTGACACCTTTCCTGCTGTTTTTCTGTAATAGACCTCCTGTGCAATTAGTGGTGTAGGATGGCCATGGTTTGGATGGTCCCAGCAGCGGGAGGTCACTTGCCTTTACCTGATGCTGGGAAACAAGCTTTTCCTGTAGCCAGTGTCTCTGGGGCTGGAACGCTGACCTCAGATGGCACTTGACTGTCACACGGGAAGAGCCCTACACGTTGTGTGCTTTACTCCTGGAGTTAGACCATTTAAAAATTACTGTGCACCTCCAAACTAATATATTGCAACTACAGGTCCATAACAATGCCTCATAGACAGTTTACTCGTTTCCTCTTTCCCCCCAGTTTTATTTGGATCAGAATCTACTCAACTGCCTTTTCGCCTAAAAGATCTAATTGGAAAGTTAATTCAGTAGCGAAGACAGCTGTGTCTGTGAACTTACTGTCAGTTGAGCACAAAGAAGCTGGATACTGGAAGAAAGAATATATCACAAAACAAATAGCCTCTGTAAAAGCAGCACTAGCTCAGGTTCTCAAACCTGTCAACCCTTACACAGGCCTTCCGGTGAGAACCAAAGAGGCCCTCAGGTATGCGTGTCTTCTTCATCAGGGGGCATAGCGGTTACTTGAGAGTTCCGTTAAACAAGTCACTAGAGACAGCCTTAAAAAAGAAGGGAGGCATAAGCTCAGGCGATTGTGTAGATAAGACGTATGTGCACTTTATACTGTGAGGGACTGTCTCTACATATTTGTGTTTCTGTGCATCTGTAAGATGTGCAGTATTTTCCTATTCCTTACAGATGGCCCAAAGTTCTGTGAAAAGCAGAAATAACCTAGTAATCTGCTCTAGTAAGGAAAGAGCCCTCAAGACAGCTCTCCCCTGGGCAGAACCTTTGCCTGACTTCCCTGTGTACTGCCAGCACCGAGAGCATGTGAGTGTGTGTGAGGTGCAGAGAAAGAACTATTGGTGACATGAAAACAGACGTCGGCCATGTTCTCAGAACTTTGACGTTGGTTTTAGGGAACTAGATGCTTTAGAGATGATATGTGAGGTAGACTTTAGCTTTTTTTTGGTTTTCTTTCTCAACGAGGCAAACATTTTTAGCTTGCTTTTCTTTCTGCAGAATATCGGGTCTAGGTTGGGTAATTATATTGAAAGGAAAGAGTGGAAGAGACTATGTCATGGAGCACGTTGAGCTTTCCGTAAATCATTCGTCCGTGACGATTGTGTGGTATGGCGGAAACTGGCCACGTCTAGCCACTCTGTCAACCTTATATCTGTGTGGCATGACACCAGTTTTTATGGACCGGTCCAAAACCCCCACCAAAAATGGGTAAGTACCAATTCAGCAGAACTTGGGGGTGAGAACATCTTATGTGTTAATACTGTTGGGTTGTCGGAAAAGTCATGACGCATTTTTGCAACGAAAAACAGAAAAAAATACGGCATCACTTTTCTGACAATCCAATAGTTGGCGTGACTGTGTAATTGAAAAACACCAGCAGTGCATTTTAATTGGCGCGCCTGCCAGAGGCTTCTCTTCCTTCTGGATAACTGCAGACAGGAGAGGAACGGGTTTCTCACGTTAGCTCGAAGTTTAGGGTCCTCATATCTTGGCGGTCAGTAACAGTTAGGGGATGACATCCCAGTTCACAAAATTTCCTAGGTGATCGGTAGCTGACCTTTTAATGTCTTTAGCTTTAGCCGTTTTAACACAAAGATATATAAAACTATTATATTTTCCTTCTTTAGTAGATGGCATAATAATCATAGTATAAACATTCGATCATAGAGTCATAATTATCAGTCATTTTTGTGTGCTTTTCTGTTGAGCTTTCTAGCTATGTGGCCTTGTGCAGCTAACTTACTCATGCTGTGCCTTCATTTTCTCGTCTGTAATAAGGGGGACGGTGACACGGTCACATTTAGCTGCTGTGAAGAAGATCACAGGCTTTTGTTATCAAACGCACAGATCAGAAACGTGCGATGACGTTGCTGGTGCCTCCTGAGTACTTATTACTCTGTCCCGCGGTGGCTTTGGTCGGAGCCCATGCTCACCACAAAGCTCACTTTCCACCATCAGTCGTTTTCTCCTCACAGCTGCTCTGTGGCATGTGTAACATCCGGACCTCCTGACCTTGCAGAGCTCATAGCTGCAGCCTCCGGTGTGGGTTTCCTGCCCTCTACCTGTGGGCCTCAGTNCTGGGTGGGGAAGTGTGAAGGAGCGTAGGAGACAGGCTGGGAGCATGCTCTTGCAAAGGCTTTGCCCCTGGAGGCAGGAACCAGGGACGAGGTTTACCCAGCTCACCTGGGCTCGTTGGGCATCTGTGGAAAAAGGGGTGAAAGCCTTCTTCTGTGCCGTCGCTCAGATCTTTGTCTGCAACTCAGAATTTGATCTTGGGGCTGAGCAGTGGGCTCCTCCTAACTTATAGTGAGAATTTCGTGCCCTGCAGCTGAACATCTAGGCTTTGAGGTCCCTCTGCCCCTCAGCATCAGAAGATCAGACAGACACTGACCCCATGTAGAACACACACGTCAGCCGGGGAGAAGATCAAGGTGAGGGCCTGCCCGTCTCCCTGGTGGTCTAACAGATGAGGAAATGGGGAACGGTGGACGGAGGGCAATAGCAGCGTGGAGCCCTGGGCCACGGGGGGGTGGGGAACATTGTGTGGGCCCTGGTTCTCAGTGCCAGTGCCTAGGATGGCTGCCTTAGGACCAGCTGGGAAAGCCCAAGAAATGCGGACCCCTAACCTGCATTTCTGGAGATTTTGGTTCTGTGCTCTGGAATCTGCATTTAAAAATTTGTCCGGGTCATACTAATGTACAGCCCAGGTTCTTATAATTAGCAGGGGACATTAGCCATTCTCAGATGGGAAGGGCGGGTTTCTTATTTTTTATTTTAAGATGTTTTCTGTATGGGGAGTAGATGTCTGCTTGCCCATTTATGTCAGTAAACACACACACATCGAGTGAAATCAAGGTCTTAGCAATAATTCTGGAATGAATGCAGAGCCATTTTTTGTGTCTCTTTCTTAATGACCATTGACAAGAGCTGGTTCACTGAAGCAAAGTGCAGTGAGGGATTTTTCAAGACAGGGGCCAACTCAATGTCCCAAACTGCAGCCTTTTGGATGTTTTTGCTGTATTTAAGGATAGAACTCCGAGTGCTAGATAAGATGATAAATTATGAATTCTTTCAGTCTCTTTATTTATTTATTTATTTTTTTAGCTGGGCCATCCTGCCACTGGTTGGCAGTTCAGTGGCAGCTCAGCTCAGGCCGGGCATTGAACTGCTGTTGCTCAGAGCTCGCACTCTTGAGCGAGCTCTTAACCAACTGAGCCGCTCGGCTGGCCCAAATTATGAATTCTTAGTTTCTTTAAATATCGCCACTCCCCACCTCACTTCAAGGCCCACCTAGTGCAGGCACTGGGCCCCTCAGTGGATTTGGGGCTGCAGCTCTAGTAATATCACTAATTATGGGCCCATCCCACTTTCTTGGAAATCATCCTTTAAAAATCTGAGGTTCTGATGAAGGTACCCTCATGTTTGTTTTCTTTCTCAAAGGATAAATCTGAATTGTGTAAGTTGAATAGTGTTTATAAGTGTCAGTCTTCATTAAAAGGACATGTTAATAATTGAATGGGTTGGAAAGTTAACGACATTGTCTAAGCATTGCTTGTGAAGGGAGGACAGGAGCACGTATTGTAGCCAATTACCCTGGTGCCTTCTGGGGACACTTCGTGGGGGTGGCCTCTCTGCTGTGTGTGTTGGGCCCTCAGCAGGAGCACCGGCCTCCCTATGGGGTGACAGGCAAGCGTGACTCAGCCTGGGTCTGCAGCATCGAGTGGGGTGTTTATTTCTCAGCACGCTGGGAAACACTGTTTACCGGAATGTTAAATTGGCCCCATTTTCTGAACAACTCGTTTTGAGTGTTCCTCTGCCTGATGATAGTCAGATTAGATAAATAAGCGCTCGTCCTCACATCCGCCTTAGCTCTGTAACAGGAGGGAACATTTGTAATCAGGAAATGAACGTGTTTGGCTTTTGGAGACTGATGCAAGTGTCTTAAACTTGACATTCGTATTTCACAGATAAGGGGATCAGCCCACAGAATGCTTGAATTCTCTAGCACGTTTTTATTCTCTTCGGGCTCCACTTACGGTAAAGGAAGTAAGGTGAGGTGTGTGGACGTGGTCCAGCACACACACGTCAGGCGTGGTAACTGGAAGTGGGCACGTGAGGGCTGCTCCCCGCCCATGGCCGTGTGCAGCTTTGTACTTTGTGAACTCTAGAGTGTGTACGAAATTGTGTCAGACTTCGGAACTGAAAACAAATACTGTAAGGCAACAAGTTTGGCGTGAAATGGTTTTGTGGGATGAGAAGTTACTGGAAAAACTCATACTAGGAAGAGATGTCAGCAGGGCTCTGATTGTTTGTGACTTTGGTGGAAAGTCTGTAGAGTGTCTGATCAAGGAGACGTGCTCCCATGTTGTACGTCTGAGAAGCGCTGCGGTTATCATTGAGTGATGGAAACAGCCATCAATCACCCCAGGCTGCGGAGGCCAGGGTTCCCCCTCCTGCCGGGGAGTCACCGTCTGCCTGCCCTCTCTGGGCCATCAGTACTGGCATCTTCTCTGCACTAAACAGAGTGTGGAGACATAAATTAGCAAATAATTACATTTATTGATGTAAATGTCACCTTTCACATGAGGACACCGGTTTTATCCTGTGCTTCAGTTTCCCCCAAGAGAAGTTTACAGTGGCTGGGAGAGAGGCACTCTGGCTCAGCTTTGGCCCCTGCAGACTGCGCTGCTGTGTGACTTCTGTGGCTTGTCACCATGGAGTTGGAGGACCCGAGCCTGGGGATCGCAGCAGAGTGGATCCCAGTGTTGTGGCCGACTGGCTGTCAGCAGCAGGAGAACTTGCTGAGGCCCTTTGCGTCCATTTCTGTATGTTATTGCAGAGGCGGTGAAGCCATGGCCTGAGGTGTGGGCTCTGGTCCAGGTGACATGGGTTCAGTCCTGGTCCACTTGCTCCTGACCACAAACCTGGGCGCGGCCTCTGTGCCTGTGGGCCTCAGTTCTATTGTCTTTCCAGTGGGGACAGTAGTCATCGCTGTGTCACGGATTTGCTGTGAAGGTGACATGAACTGCTGTGTACCCAGCGCGGGCTGAGCGCCTAACACAGGTGCGCAGAAATGTTACCTGTCACTGGGAGTTGTTTATAACGATCTCCAGTTCTTCCTCTGTGCAAGCCGTACATGTTCATGGCTGAAAAACTAAAACACGGAACGCAAAAAGAACAAACATTTTAGTCCACACTGTTGATATTTCTCTCTGTGTGTGTTTGTATATATATCCCCTTCCTGACCTTTTAAAAACATGAATGTATTCAAAAGAACAAGATCGGAATCATGTGACACCTTTCCTGCTGTTTTTCTGTAATAGACCTCCTGTGCAATTAGTGGTGTAGGATGGCCATGGTTTGGATGGTCCCAGCAGCGGGAGGTCACTTGCCTTTACCTGATGCTGGGAAACAAGCTTTTCCTGTAGCCAGTGTCTCTGGGGCTGGAACGCTGACCTCAGATGGCACTTGACTGTCACACGGGAAGAGCCCTACACGTTGTGTGCTTTACTCCTGGAGTTAGACCATTTAAAAATTACTGTGCACCTCCAAACTAATATATTGCAACTACAGGTCCATAACAATGCCTCATAGACAGTTTACTCGTTTCCTCTTTCCCCCCAGTTTTATTTGGATCAGAATCTACTCAACTGCCTTTTCGCCTAAAAGATCTAATTGGAAAGTTAATTCAGTAGCGAAGACAGCTGTGTCTGTGAACTTACTGTCAGTTGAGCACAAAGAAGCTGGATACTGGAAGAAAGAATATATCACAAAACAAATAGCCTCTGTAAAAGCAGCACTAGCTCAGGTTCTCAAACCTGTCAACCCTTACACAGGCCTTCCGGTGAGAACCAAAGAGGCCCTCAGGTATGCGTGTCTTCTTCATCAGGGGGCATAGCGGTTACTTGAGAGTTCCGTTAAACAAGTCACTAGAGACAGCCTTAAAAAAGAAGGGAGGCATAAGCTCAGGCGATTGTGTAGATAAGACGTATGTGCACTTTATACTGTGAGGGACTGTCTCTACATATTTGTGTTTCTGTGCATCTGTAAGATGTGCAGTATTTTCCTATTCCTTACAGATGGCCCAAAGTTCTGTGAAAAGCAGAAATAACCTAGTAATCTGCTCTAGTAAGGAAAGAGCCCTCAAGACAGCTCTCCCCTGGGCAGAACCTTTGCCTGACTTCCCTGTGTACTGCCAGCACCGAGAGCATGTGAGTGTGTGTGAGGTGCAGAGAAAGAACTATTGGTGACATGAAAACAGACGTCGGCCATGTTCTCAGAACTTTGACGTTGGTTTTAGGGAACTAGATGCTTTAGAGATGATATGTGAGGTAGACTTTAGCTTTTTTTTTGTTTTCTTTCTCAACGAGGCAAACATTTTTAGCTTGCTTTTCTTTCTGCAGAATATCGGGTCTAGGTTGGGTAATTATATTGAAAGGAAAGAGTGGAAGAGACTATGTCATGGAGCACGTTGAGCTTTCCGTAAATCATTCGTCCGTGACGATTGTGTGGTATGGCGGAAACTGGCCACGTCTAGCCACTCTGTCAACCTTATATCTGTGTGGCATGACACCAGTTTTTATGGACCGGTCCAAAACCCCCACCAAAAATGGGTAAGTACCAATTCAGCAGAACTTGGGGGTGAGAACATCTTATGTGTTAATACTGTTGGGTTGTCGGAAAAGTCATGACGCATTTTTGCAACGAAAAACAGAAAAAAATACGGCATCACTTTTCTGACAATCCAATAGTTGGCGTGACTGTGTAATTGAAAAACACCAGCAGTGCATTTTAATTGGCGCGCCTGCCAGAGGCTTCTCTTCCTTCTGGATAACTGCAGACAGGAGAGGAACGGGTTTCTCACGTTAGCTCGAAGTTTAGGGTCCTCATATCTTGGCGGTCAGTAACAGTTAGGGGATGACATCCCAGTTCACAAAATTTCCTAGGTGATCGGTAGCTGACCTTTTAATGTCTTTAGCTTTAGCCGTTTTAACACAAAGATATATAAAACTATTATATTTTCCTTCTTTAGTAGATGGCATAATAATCATAGTATAAACATTCGATCATAGAGTCATAATTATCAGTCATTTTTGTGTGCTTTTCTGTTGAGCTTTCTAGCTATGTGGCCTTGTGCAGCTAACTTACTCATGCTGTGCCTTCATTTTCTCGTCTGTAATAAGGGGGACGGTGACACGGTCACATTTAGCTGCTGTGAAGAAGATCACAGGCTTTTGTTATCAAACGCACAGATCAGAAACGTGCGATGACGTTGCTGGTGCCTCCTGAGTACTTATTACTCTGTCCCGCGGTGGCTTTGGTCGGAGCCCATGCTCACCACAAAGCTCACTTTCCACCATCAGTCGTTTTCTCCTCACAGCTGCTCTGTGGCATGTGTAACATCCGGACCTCCTGACCTTGCAGAGCTCATAGCTGCAGCCTCCGGTGTGGGTTTCCTGCCCTCTACCTGTGGGCCTCAGTGTCCTTGGTCCCCAAGGTGCCATTTGCACATCGTTGTTTTTACAGGCCTCGTGTGCTGCAGCCCCCTCCCGAAGGTGTGGCGACACCTCACCTCAGGGCCTGCTGGCTTCACCGAGGGAGGGGTGCCATCCTTTCATGGTTTCTCTGGAGACAGACACATCGTTGCAGTTTTATACCTGGGACCTTGTATTTGGTTCCTCTGCCAACTGCGGGCTCTTTGAGGACCCTTTCCGTGAGCCCTGATCCAGTGGTCATGCTGTGAATACAGCATTGGGCTTCTCGGTGCTGGGAAATACAGGTTTTATTGTTTTCTGAAAATATCCTTACTGCCCTGATGAAAAACATGTGAATCATTTCCCCTGAGTATATCACTGAAGATGTTGTGTTAACATAGTTACTTTTTAAAATGGTACCTTTATTTGGATAAATCTCTGAAATTTCCTATGCTGTCATGCTGCACACAGCTTTTTAATGTGACACTCAGGTTTTATGCACCATGAGATTATGTTTGGACAGAATGTTACTTGGCATATCATGAAATACTGTTTATAAATCTAGGACACAACTGTTAGCATCGATGAAAATGATCATGAAAGACTCATTTAACGGGAAACCGTTGAACTGTAAAACTTGGTTAAAGAAACTCTGCGGCCCTGAAAATTGTCATCCAGGGAACCCTACATACAGCACAGTGACAGAAATGCTAGAATTCACTGGGGAAATTCAGTGAATGTAACTTATTTCCGTTAAGACTCAGTGGACTTCAGCCCGCATTTGATCCGCTGAGGAACGAACACTGAGTGTTTTTCAGGAACCTGTTTTGCTGGCACTTGGACTCCAGGTTTGTAGACGGGTGCTTTCATCTTGCAGAAATTCCGTCCTGTGAGCATCCGGTGACAGCAAAGCCGAAGCTTGGTCATTTAAAAAAATTTTTTTAATCTTTTTTTGTTTCCTCTAGGAGAACTTTTCTCTCAGAACATGAAAGCTGTATTTACATAATTTGCAATTTGAATTTCCCTGCAATTTGTGCCTTTCTAGTCAGACTCATTAAATTGTTTTCATTGCCGCAGTGCTCCCCTTGTCTGCTTCTGTTATTGCTCCCCAAAGTCCTGAGAAGTGTTGGATAAATGTCACCTTCCCTTCCATGTCATTAACCTGTGGGGCCAAGACAGAGGGGGCTTAGCACAGCCCGCCGACCTCCTCTTCTAAGCAGCGTGAAGGTTTCCAGCACAGGGATTCTCTGGGCTGGATGAGGGGCCAGGGCGGTCGGCAGCCAGGCCTGGGTCTGGTCCTTATAGCGTCCTTCACTTGGAAACAGTGCCACAGGGAAGCCCTCCTACTGGACGAACGTCTGAATACCTGTCCCCTGATGGCTTGTTCTTCAGGGCTGGAGGCGACTCCTGAATGTTCAAACGCCATTGAGTTCTGCCCTCCCTATAGTTTCCTGAACTTTCTCTAGGTCCCCGGGAATGGCGGACACCCCTGTCTACCATTGCAGTGCCTCTGGAGTGCTTCGCTCTACTGGTTTCAAGTCTTACGAGTAGCGGAGCTGGGTTGTGTTTGTACACAACTGAGTTGCTTACTGTTAGCACTGGTTGTGCCGGAGGCTCCCAGTGGGTCTCCTTCACGAATGCACTCACGGTTTTGGTTTCAGTTTATTTTCTCAGTTACAGCTTTCACTATCTGAGTTACATGACAGTAGCTTTAGAAGGTACTTTTACTTTGAGGCAGCCTCCTGAGGCCACCCGCTTTGTTGTCAGTGGAAGTATTTCACCTTGGCTTATGCAGCATTTCACTCGGTTAGAAACACAGAATGTGCTTTAGACTGGAGCGCCGGGCTCGGGCCTGCCGGGAGGAGAATAGCAGGTGGTTCTTCCCCTTTCTCACCTGCGTGGCTCTTCAGCCCACTTCCGCCTGGGCCACTGAGCACACAGTCGAGCGGGAGAAGGCAGACAGACTCGGGGGAGAGCTGGGGTGTGTCCTTCGTGCCTCTCGTCTATGCAGTGTTTGCGGCCCTCGCCCCTCAGTGTGCCCCTGAGTTGCCACACACACGTGACTGGCACGCTCGTCCAGAGTGTTTTAGATGCACTCAGTAGAATCGACAGCGCTGCCGGTGCCAGTGCTCATGTCTCTCTTTCCTTCCTTTGACACGCATGTTCAAAGACCTAGATGGCACTCTCTAATCGCCAAGTACAGCCTGAGTCCTTTCCCCGAATCCACCATGATTGGCTGTGACAGACTCATTCGGATCTTCCATCTAAACCCAGGCCTCCTGGTGGGGCTGTGGCAGGTAAGACTCGAGGCCCTGCAGGGACGGTGCCGTTTCCTCCCTCACAAGCCCACATTGACTCACCACAGGGCACCCCGTCAAAGGGACAGTCCGCAGGACCTCTCGCTGACTTCATTCCGCCTGGCCACCCTCCCGACTTCGTTTTTCTAGCACGTGAGGGGCTCCTCAGCCGTTCTGCCGTGTGAACGACATCCTGTTCGGCCTGGATGACGATGTTCACGCATTCCTTTCATCGCGGCCCTTTCCCCTTCTCTTCCGGTCAGTCCGTGCTCCTATCTTTCATCTTTCATGTCCTTCCTCTGCCTAAGTCTGTCTGTGCATTTAACCCAGGAGCCTCCCATGTGCTCCAGGTCCTGTAGATGGGGCCCCGAGTGTCATCTGCCCTTCAGGAGAAAGTGGCTAAGGACTTACCCTTTCCCACCACATGAGGGTCCGGCTGCTGGGCAGCTCCCTCCTCGGGTTCTTTTCTGGGAGGTCGCTTCAGTGAGGAGCACACAGTGTGATGTCCTGTGTACAGCACAGGCTCCTCTGTGGCTTTGGCCGGTGGACATTGTAAGACAGCGGTTCCCAAATGTGATTCTGACAGCTGCAGTGTGTGTGTATCTACAGTGACTAGACAGGGCCAGGACCTACACAGCTTCCTCGCACGTCCCTGTGTCTTCACGGCCTACCACGGTGGTCGGTCTCTCCCTCTCCCCTACCCTGTGTGAGGGGACCCATGGGCCAGGCGACAGTTTCCCTGCCCTGAGTTTCTCCACTTGGGTCCAGCCATCTCTGTCGGCCTGCGTATTGCAGGGCTCTGGCTGACCCACTGTCCCCTGCCTGGGCCCAGGGAAGGGCCCGTCAGGTGGAGCGTGTCGGGTTACCTCTCCCAGGCTGCGGCAGCTGTGCCTTTGGGGAGACGTGGCTGTCGTTCCCGTACAGCCACATGTTCACGTCCATCAACCTGAAGGATGAGTAAAGACGACTTGGAATGCGATCATTCCGCTGGGTTGGCCAGCTCCGGCAGGTGTGGAGGGAGGGACACTGTGCCACGAATGTTAAGTGTTTGTGGAATTAATCTTGTGTCTGCGAAGCTCTTACCAGAAGTATCTTTATCTCTGAGAAGAGTTTGCAAAGCCTGGAGCTGCCAAGAATCCCCGTGTGTCCCACCCATGGGGTTTCGGCGTTTGCCAACACCAGGACCTCAGTTCCCTGGGCACTGTGCGCGCTGTGCACGTGGGGGAACCTGGCCTGCTGTCACGCGGCGTATGCATCTCCTCAGGAACCCACAGTGCGCCAGCGCCGTGGTGACCTTAGCGTTCCTTGTAAGAGACGGCGTTGTCTGTGCGATGAACATGCTGCTGCCTTCACAAGGACCTTGTGAAAGACCGAACTACTTCCTCTGAAACCTGTATTCTTTCTAATTAACTTTCAGAGGGAGGAGGAGCTGGCCTTTGTTGCGGCGAATCTGCACCTCCATCATCTTGTGGAGAGGAGCTCGCTAGGCTCGGCCGCTCTGTAGGTATTCGTGCTCCGTGCGTTTGAGTTTTGTGACGTCAGCATAAATGGTTAGAACCCATATCACCTTAGCATCCTGACAGTAGCGACAGAGACACTGTTTTTAACCAGCAGACATGAGCCAACAGGTGCACCGCCTTAGCTTTGGCCATCGTGGCTGGGCTGCTAATGAGCACACACCTGCTTTACCTGCTCTGGGCCCAGAGGATGTCATTCCCAGGGCGGTGTGCTTCCTTACGCAGGAAGGAGCCCCATTTTCTGCACTCATGTAGTTTCCCATCTCAGGCGGCACAGGACCCACGGCCTGTGGCCCCACCTGCCCTGCACAGCAGTGTGTGCTTGGCCTGCACAGTGCGTGCCTTTCTAGTGAGTTTGGAGGCCTTCAGGTGGGGACAGGCTTTCCATTTTCCTGCTGCTCTCAAGCTCACATTAGGAATAGTACCTGATAAGCTCCTGAGTGCCTGTGACTTACCTTATTAGTAAGGGTGTTCTTACTGAACAAGACTGTTCATCAGGCTTTGGCCCCCCTGTGCAGACCCCTGACCTGCAGGGCTGCTGGGGTTGCCGGAGCGGGTCCCTAGGTGCGTGTTCCTGCCGGCTATTCCTGTCCCAAGACACAGAGACCTCCGAGGAGCAGAGTGGCCTTTGCAGCGCTGCTGTCCTGGGCAGGTCTCAGAAACGTGCACCCTGGTGGTCTTGTGATACCTACGGGCTCCTGTCTTTGCCTGTTTTTATAGGAGTTGCATGGTATTGAAGATGACTGGGGGTCCTGCCGAGGGTTGGTAGGGGCTGGTGCTTTGAATGCACGTTAATTTTTTAAAGAGTATTTTCAGTTCAAGCCCTTTCTCTCGGGTGTTGACAAATTTGTGTATATGTTCTGTTTTGCTTTTTAGCCCCTACGAGCTGCCTCCTCATACACCCCGTTTGGATGACACCCCAGAGTATGGACTGCATGGCTACCAACTCCATGTTGACATGCACAGCGGTGGAATTTTCTGCCTGTGTAGTACATTTCGCAATCTCTTTACCAAGAAAGGTGACACTAATTGAGTTTTTGTTTCAGCATGAAATTAAAAGGCTGGAGGGCACAGAGGACCAGTTTGTATGTCTGAGTTAAGAATTGCCCGCCTAACTGGTCATCTTATCATCTGTTGGCACTCTATCCTCCCAGACCCCTGGGCACTCGGAGACTACTGAACTTCCTCGGCTCCGGCCGCCTCCGTCCTCACACCCTCCCTCTACCTGCCGGATAGTCACCACTCACTGCTCCTGATGCTGTCCTCATTGTATTGCCCCACCGCGCCCCCTCCCCCAGCGTCTTCCCTTCTCCCTCGAGGGAATTTGGTGACTTTGGCGACAGGGCCAGTGCAGCACCGTCAGGATAAGAATAGAGAGCACAGCCCTCCATGTTCCACAGGAGGTTTATGGTCCTCAGAGCTGAGGCAGGGACTGGGGGGGGGCTTCAGCCAAGAGAATGGAAAGGGACGTGGAGCGCCCCCCTCTGGCCTGTCTGATTCTTTTCTTTACTCTTGATATCGTTCCTCTGTAGCCTGTAGACTTGAGGCTTGGTGTAGAAACGTGCATAGATTCAAGTTTAACGTTTTTGGCAATAATATTTGATAGGGGAAATTACATACTTTTATTTCCTAATAACTCTCACCTAATGGATTTGATATCCATTAGCAGTCCTTCCCTAATAATTTTGTTTGTTTGAAAGTAGAAAATTCTAATGATGTCATTATTTGGACATTTATGTGCTGAACTTTTGTAAAGAACTTTTCCTTATCAGCTGGGTAAACTCCTATAATGACAGGGTACATACTTTAATCCTTTCCCTTTTAACCACCAAGTTTCAGATTATGAAACTGAGGTAATAGTCACCTCCTATGGTGGAAATAATTTTGACCTCTCTGCCTTCCCCTCTCTCTCACTGCCCCTCCCTGCCGTCTTCCCCCACATCTAACCCCTTTCTTGTTTAGTGTTACTTTGGACTCTTGGGTTTTTATTTACTCAGTTATTTATAATCAGTTAAAGACATTATTCTTTTTGAAGTTAAACTTGTGCCCAGTTTGGTCTGTGGGATCGCTTGCAAGGTGGCTTTTGTGCCCTCTGACACACCTCCATTAGTCTGGCTCAGGAAGATTTCAAGGTTTTCTGTGCTTGTTGGCATTTTTATTAGAGTTGTGTCTAATGTACGTATTAACCTGGAGTGAATTGACATCTTTCTTGTTGAATTGCCCTACCCAGGAATGTGGATTGTCTTTCAATTTGTTTAAAAATACTTTTATGTCTTTTAGGATTGTTTCAGAATTTATTTCATATTAGTTTTGTAACTTCTTAAGATTTTTAGCATTTCATTTTTGTTACTTCTCTTCCATTGTATCGTCTAATTGTTTTGTAATGCCTGTGTGTTTCTTCTGGGATGAGATTTAGTATTTTGTGTCTTTGAAGAAATTTGTCCATTTTGTCTAAGTTTCCAAATTAATTGAAATAAAGTTGATAATATTTTCTTGTTGTCTTTTAATGCCTGTAGAGTCTGTAGTGATGCCACCTGCCTCCTGATGGGTAATTTGTGTCGTCTTTGTTTCCTGATCAGCGTGGCTAGAGGTCTATCAGTGTTATTGATCTCAGGGAACCAGCTTTTGGTTTCCTTCATTTTCTCTATTGTTCTTATGTTTTGTATTTCTCTGATTTGCACTTTGATTTTTACTGTTTCCATTCTTTTCCTGTCCACTTTGTAATTTGCTCTAATTTCTCTAGTTTAATGGGGAAGCTGAAGTCATTGTTTTGAGAACTTTCCTTTTCTAATATAGAAACAGTTTTGCTGTAAACTTCCCCCTAAGTACTGTTTTGGTGGCATTCCATAAATTCTGATATGTTTTATTTTTATATGCTTTGTGTGACATGCATTCTTTTAGATTCATTGAGACTTGTTTTATGGCTCAGAATACAGTCTCTGATGGTACACACTCCACATGGACTTAAGAATGTTCTGGTCTTTTGAGTGGAGTGTCCTATAAAAGTCAATTGGTCAAGGTATTGGAGAGTGCCGAATCTACGGGGTCCTTGTTGGACAGAAATGTCCATGTGTTTTTCTCAGTTATCGAGAGAGGAGTATGGAAATCTGCAGCTGTGGCTGTGGGTCTGTGTATTTCCCATTGAGGGTCTGTCAGTTGCTGCTACATGTATTTTGAAGCTCTGTTATTTTATTGATAAACATTGACGATTATGTCCTCTTGACGGATTGACCCCTTTATCATTTATGAGACGACCTTCTTATCCCTGGCGGTGGTTTTTGCTCTGGAATCTATTCCATCTGATTCATATAAGCACTCTAGCTTCCTTTGGAGCAGTGTTAGCATGGTGTAACTTTTCCCATTCTTTCACTTTAAACCTGTTTGTGCGTTTGCTTTTGGTGGATATGCTTCTTAAGTCCTGTGGGATCTATGACAATGCGTCCCTTTTCTCATGCCATTTATTTGTTGGAGAAACTGAATCTGTTATTGGTGTCTACAACTTCTGCACTTTGGGTGGGTGCTCCTGGTGTTAACGTGTTTCCCCATCTCCCACTTGTACACTGGTAGTCATATCTAGAGGCTTGGTCAGATTTAGGTTTTTCCTTTTTTGGCAAGAATACTTCATAGGTGATGCCCTGTACTTCCTATCGTATTTATCAGAAGGATGTAGTATCTGCTTTTCTAAATATTAATTAAGATTGACCAGCAGATTCAGGCATTTTTTAGCCTGCTCCTTTTATTGTGAATTTTCCCATGAATGTTTACCAGATGGTTTACCAAATGATGGATACCTGTGCCCATTGTTCTTAGTGGTTGTAACACGGTGATTCCCTAGTTCTATCATTCTTCCTACCTCTAATAACTAGGATTCTTCTATAAAGGAGAGTTTTCTTTTATTAACTAGTTAGTATCCATGAGGTACAGTTAGTACAGGAAAGGCCACAAGGAACGTACTTGATTTGGTCTCTTTATTAATTTACAAAATAGTGACTTAATGCTCTAGCAGCGGGGGTGTTACTGTGAAATCATGGGTTAAAAAATATAGAGTTGATGTATTTTAGTTTGTTTGCAGTCATTGTTCTTTACATTGCTCTCATGATGCTCAGGTTGGCCTGTCATTGGTCATCTGCTCCTCTGTTCTCTTGACATGACTTTAGCCGTGTTTGGTGGGTGGCCTGCACTCTAGCATGGCAAGGGAGCTTGGCTCATCCTGTCTGCTTCCTGTCCACCAGGGACTGGCCATTTCTCTAGGAGCTCTGGTGCCTTTTAGTTCCCACTACACTGTGGTGTTGAGAGACCAGAATCTGCATCTTAGAGACGCACGTCACTTGGATTTTCCTTCCTTTTTGGGTTTTCAGTAGACAGAGCTAAGATGTTTGTAGATTTTATAATGTGAAGAAATAAATCATGCATTTGTTTAAATTAAAGATCTTAGGGTTTTAAATTAACTTCTTTGTATATTTGTATTTTTTTCCTTAGACTTAAAGTGTTTGCTCTAAACAACATCACAATATATAATAATTTCAAAATAACAATACCAATATTATTACTAGTAATGATCTTATTGGATATTCTCTTAGTTAAGCATTTCCTTGTGGTTCTTTCTGTGCTTATGATACATCATCCTAGAGATATAAAGTTAAGTCACCTAAAATAATCTTTCTCTGTCTGGTTATGCTACGACTTCAATATACAATTTGTTTCAGTTGATTTTTTATTTTTCAGGATTGCTTTTTTGTTTTGTTTTGTTTTTTTTTACATTAAAAAATGACCACATTTACATAGTTCCAAAGTTGAAAGTATCCAACAAGGTAGTTCAGAGAGGTTTGCTTCTCTCCTAGCCCTTGACCCTGTTCTTTCCCTCCCTGCAGAGGTGACCCCCAGGCTAGTGGCGGCCCAGCGCTTGTTCGCCTCCCCGTGGCCCCAGCCCTCCTGTCCTCAGGCGCCCTCACTTCCAGCATTCCTTCTCAGACGTGGTCTGCTGCCTCCTGAGAGCCTGTCGTTCTGTTCTGCAGGGCGTGGGTGGAGGCCTGTCTTGTGGGGCGTCTAGAGCTTCAGAGGAGAGGCCCCGGCTTCTCCGAGTTCTAAACAAATACAGCCCGATGTTGGCGAAGCACTGCCGGCCTTCCCCGTGCACGAGCTGGGCCCTTCGTGCCACAGGGGATGGTGATGGAGAACTGGGGGCGCCAGCAGCTGCTTGCCGAGCCATTTATATTTATATTATTTAACCTGCTCTTTCCAGCAAGCCCGGGCGGGAGCTGGGTCCTGTCACCTCTCCCGTGCTGTTACTGACCAAGCCGCTGAGGCTGAAGCTGACAGTGGAGGTCGGTTCTCCGATTCCTGCTGCTCACACGTGGCGGAGCCGGTTCTGCACCCACGCGGCTGCCCCAGAGCTGGGAGCTACCCACGCGGCCGCACTGTCTCCTGTGTATTTGTACTTTTCCGCGTGTGTGACTTCTTGTGTGTGCGGCTGTCTTTTTAAAGTGTTGGCACCGGAAGTGTGGTCACACAGGGCCTTCTCTGCTGCCTTCTGAAGCGGCCTTTAAGCAAAATTTCTGCTAATTCTGCTAAACTCCCGTGGGGGTTAGATGGTCGTTACAATGAGCAAGAGGCTAAGTAAAATGGGAATGATGGGGACTGAGATGGGGCTGAGTCACCTTCATCAGCTGTGTTCACAGTAAGAAAACAAATGTTCATCGTAAGAAGGCTTCACAAGACTCAGATGCGTTTCCTCTGCCTGTGGCTCTACCGTGAGGAGCCAGCAGAGGGCGCTGTTGCCATCAGAGTCACTCTGTTAACAAAGTACAAACGCCAATGTCCTCTACGGTATTTTGAGAGACTCTCTTGTGGTACCACGCGGTATATTTAGTAAATTCCAGCCCTGTCATTGCAGTTGGGCATGACAGCACTCTGCCCTGTTTTTAAAGAACACTTTCTCTCTATCAAGGGTAAACCGTGTTATCGTCCTGTCCCTAGAACTGAGTGGCTCTATCTGCTTGTCATCAGTGAGAAGCCAGAC